AAGGATGGAAAAAATACTTTAGAAATCTATTTTTACTGCAATTTACTTAATGCCAAGTTTGACATGATGTACAGAATAACCAGGAAAAAGAATGCGAAATGTTTTCTCTTTATTCTTGTGTCCGATTTATAATTTTGGACCTGGTGAAGATTTGGGTTATTTTACTGATCACAAATGATGGGGAAATGAATATATTTTTGTTATTCCAAACAAAAGCACATCTGTTTATTTTAAGTCTGTGTATTGTTAGGACTGAAATACAAAATGAAATAATGGTTTAATGCAATTCCCTTTCTAACAGGATTAGTCTATTATTAGTAAGTACGAGCAAAATAACCAACATCTACCTAAGCTAACAGTGAAAACATGTAATTTGTTACTTAAAAGATAAAATTAATAGAACTTTCCCATTTATCATTGTGATTTTCAGTAATATCATCATTTTTCAGAATAAAACATTACAAAAATTTTTATATTTTTGCAGGGGGTACAAAACAAAATTTTATTGGAGCAAAAAAAGCAGATAAATTAAAAGGACATTCTTAACAAAAAAGAAACAATTCTTAACAAAAAAGAGGGTTAGCAAAATATATATATATATTACCATAAATTGGTAATATCAAAATGATTAAAATCAGCTAAATTGGTTTATTGGTCCTTTCTCATCAGAGCAAAAATCCAGGACAAAAAATGTGCACAGCAACTAAAAAATATACAATCCCAGATTAATGTTATATACAAGCAAAAAATCTAACATTAAAGGCTAATTATCATGAAGCCCACCAATCACTGCTTCTTTTTACAAGAGATGGTTGATAGGAATTAATGTATACTGATCCCAAAATCTTCACATGATAATTGGTATTATCCTTACTCAGCATTGATGAAAGAAGGTTTTAAACAAATTGATTTTCAACTGTTTAGATTAGAAGGAATCCTGCTGAGTGTATAAACCCATAATGGTTGGTTTCCAGTAGACTGATGTTAGAAAACCTGTATTTGATCTGTGTATCAAGACACTGAGAAAAGGAAAAATGCCATTGTTCTCCTTTTCACATATGAAATGCAATGCCAGGTGCAATGTATTAAGTGCTGGATGGAAAAACCATAGCCTCAACCTCATTTTCAAACAAACAAAAGTTATCATTCACATATCTAACATATTACCTCTCAATACAAGCAAATAACTATTGCTAAAAAAATAAACTAAAAAAAACAACAACAAATATATTTGCCAGTGTCAGCCCTAAAGGACTACCCATCACTTTCTCATCTATTTGCCTATACATGACCTTATTAGAGCTAAATTCTTATTTTGTACACACACTTGAGGTTCTACCTAAAAAGTTTGGAGAATGACCATTAAAAAAAAAAAAGAAATTACTCTAACATTTAGTTTCTACTCTAAGCATTGTACATATTTGATGCATATGCATTAGTTCATACAATCTATCCCCACCTTAAAGGGTTCAGACCAAAATTCCCTGAAAGTTTATTGGATTCACAAGCAACTAAAGAAGGCCAAAGGGCACAATGCCCAAAACATTGTGATAACAACAACAAAGATGAGTACATTAATCTGAGTGTAAATAATACAACATTCAGTTTGTATGTATTATTTATAATACCTAAATGTTTGAGTAGCAGGTTTTGTTTTTTTATGATACAAGTTTAGTTGAAAGTGACAGAGGAGAAGGGTTCTGAAAGATTCTTTGAAAAAGTAACATTTCCTCATAGTTGTACGGAGTTCTCAGAGTAACAAATGCAGAAATTATAATTGCAACATTGATGGTCAGCCATTTTTTTATGATTAGTTTGATGCTAAATTTAAATTTCAGCATTTTTGCATTAAGGTGCCATAAACATATGTCATGCCAAATGAGGGATTTTTCTTCACAAATCTATTAATTACTAAATATATCTTCTATCCTGCTGCATAGTCGAAAGTCAAAACAGCAGATTGTTGAATACGTTCAGCTTGAGAAGAACCTCACTTGGCTGTTACATGTGTTGCTGTCAACATTAAAATGCTAAATTACTGAACTTTAAAATAAAAATTTAAAGCAAATAAAATGGCAACTTTGAAAGAAAAAAGAAAGGTCAAAACTGTACATTAAGATTTTGAAAAAAAAGTGTTCAAAAACTGTGTAAAAAATTTGAAACAATTTTACTCTTCATTGTCAATAATTCTAAGTTTAAATTTTAACTTTTGAGTATTACTTTAATTTTAGATAATGTATTTTTTATAAAATTTTTAGTATTATTAATAGTAAATGAAAATATTAATAGAAATTATATTCAAATATTTTACAAGACTGACACTAAAAGATTCTAAATATTAAAAGTTGTATTCATTGACAGAAGGAACTGCCAATTAAACAAAATCTCATCTTAAGCCAACTGTCGTGTCTGGAACAATGTCCAATCTAAAGGAATTAACATCTGTTCTTAGCATACTCTTTATAAATCATCACATGCTGCTGATATTACCAAATAATAGATGTATGAGTATTTGTGCATATATACAGGGTCATTGTGCAGCCTTAAATTTGTATAACTTTCATTCTATACATAAAATCTATTCATAAAGAGCAGATAAGTATGATTTGTTGATTTTATTTTAGCTCAGTCACAAAATGACTATTCTTGAACTTAGAACTGAGAAGAGAGACAGTGTTTCAGCAAAATGGGGCACCTTGTCACTTTACTCTCAGACCAAGGTTCTTAGTCCTCATAATCATCAGATGTTTTTGATTTTTTTGTGAGGACACATACAAAAGCAAATGTTTAGTCAACAAAATATTTTCTTCAGATGGGGGTCAGGATAACAAATTCATGGTTTCGCTGAAATTTAATTGCAAAATATCTTTATAGAATTTGAGAATGGCATCAATACATGATGTTAGGAATTTGCAATGTATAAAGATATAAATCCCAGGTTAAAAAGAAAAAAAATGGGTTTGCTAAGATAGGAACACATGAACAGGTACAGATGAACAATAAACACAAGATTAACATTTGTAAATAAATTTTATATAACAAAATGCAAAATATAGGAAAAATATGGAGTGACAGACGTACAATTAACAAAAGAACACTTAACTGATATTGGATGTCAGTTCAAACATTTGTGTTTCAGGAATTTGGAGTTCAAATGTTTGTAATGACAGACAAAGTTGCGGTAGAATGTTTACAAAAGTTGGTTGACCTTTCTTCTGCAATGTGAAATATAAGATTCCGGAATAATGTTTGTGTTACATTTCCTCTTGGTTAATTGGATTGTATCCAAGATGAAAGTAAGATGCTTTCTTTGTATTTATTTGAGTACAATATTCTCTTATCCTTTACTCATTAAATAGTCAAATAAACCCAAGATCTCTGAGACAAAATTTCCTTATTCCCTACACAAGTAATAGAATAGGTTTGTAGATGTATTTCTCATCCCTTACAATCACATGATAGAAATCTATTTTGTCACAAACTGCTGCCATTGGAGGTCAGAGGAAAACTAAAGTTACAATACCAAAATACCCCTTGGTGATGTATGTCACATGAGTGTAATTGACCGATTCTTACTCCCTTACTTAGCAGGTCATTCTGTTTATTGTCAAGCAACACCAAATTCCTTTCTTGCTATTTCTTAGAAGGTACTTTGTTTATTGTCAAGCTGAACCCAAATTCCTTTCTTGACCTTTCTTCACTGAAACAAGACTCAGTCCAGATAGGTAGTAAAACAAAAAAAAAAAAAGAGAGAAAGAGAATAGTGAGAAAGACAAAGACAGAGCATCTCTTATTAAATTTATTGTATGGCATGGAGTATTGCTGCCATATATGGTCTGGTGCCCCCGCTGTTCGTCTTAAGGTCCTTGATAAAATCCAGAGATAGATATGCAATGTGATTGGCCCTGATCTGGCATCTTGTCTATAGTCGCTCTCTCATGGATGTACCATCACCCCCCCCACTCTGTCTTTTCTACAAATACTTTCATGATAACTGCTCCGACAAGCTAATTTTGCTAGTTCCCAGACTGCATGAATTTAAATGTGCTACTAGGCTGGCATCATGGTCCCATCCTTTCACTATCGAAACAGTTAAATGGAATCGTCTCTTCTACTCCAATAGCTTCATGTCTCACACCTCCTGTCTGTGGAATCATCTCCCTATTACTTGTTTCCCTGATAGCTATAATCTCCAACTATTCAAATGTCAATCGACATCTCCAGATGACTTGATCTATTCCCTGTCCTTCTCTTCATCCTTTCTTCTATCATGACTCTTTACTCTCACTCCCACTCTCTGTAACCCCCTGTGTTCTAGTGGCATCCCACCTTGCTTGGAGTGAAATGCTTAAAGTCTGATTTAACAGTTAACATTGAGGGTCATGTCACAATGATGACAAGAGACATGCTGAAGATTAACAACCCCTAGATTAAATCTATCTAAAAATGTCATTTTTCTGATTTATTTTTTTTAGAGACGAATTTCTGTTTAGAAAATTAATTTATGAACATTTTGAACTGCAAAAGAACTTTATAATTATAATGATTCAGTATAGACCATGATTGCCAAATATTGATTGTTGACAATTAGCATTTTTCAAAGGTATTTTTAGCCTTTGTTTTAAAACTATAGCATTAAAGAATATTATATCAATTGGTTGACACAGAGTGTTAAGAATCATGAGAAATATTAAGGATCTCATCATGGAATCATACAGATAATTATGGCTTCTTATGGTCTTGGGTAAAATGAAACTTAGTAAACTGGGGTATGTGTGGTGGTTGAGACAGTTGTGCACTTACCACACTACTACTGTTCAAACCAAGGTAAATGAAAGTATTCTGAATGTTGATTTTCAAGGCATGCAGGCTATCAGTTTTCAATCCTTCTAGTAGAGCCTTCTCTTATATCAAGTAAAGCTTAAGAAACATCAGAAGTAAAAGTTTATTTGCTGCTGAGATTAATGAGTGCAAGAGAAAGAAAATAAAAAGAAACTTACCAATATTTTTTAGTAAGAAATTTGTAAATGTTGCAGCAATGATATTCCTTTCTTTGGCTGCCAGCACGACTGGTGGCTGGGAGCCATCGTCTATAGTAAAAATGGGGGCATTGTCATATTGGTTGTTATAACCATTGAAATAAAACTGAAACAAGATCAAAATCAGTGTCAGTTTGATAAAGAGGAAAGGAATAAGGCAAAAAAAAAGAAAGAAAAAAAATGAAGTAAATATAAGAAAAGACAAATAAGCAGGAAAGTTCATAATGTTTAAAATAGTTTCTCTCTTCACAATATTTAGATATATTCTTTTTTGACAGACTATAAGGTTTACTTATTTATATCTTTAAAAAAAGTGTTCAATTTTCTGGGATTATGGATAGGAGATCAAACACTGAATATTTGAGGAATTGCATTGAAGTTCTCCAAACCCCTAAAGATTTCTTTGTAAAATCTGAATACATCTTATAAACTAGCAAACACAAAAATTTACATTTTCAATGTGTTGAATTTTGCTAATATATTTGCATTAATCTTGTCTTTGACTTTAATGGCAATTAAAATTGACAATATATATTTTTCTTATAAAATTACACTTGAAACTTTTTCTATGATTACTATTTATTAAGTTTGTCCAGAAAAAAAACCCATGCATTTAATATTAATGAAACAAATAGCCTGAAAATCTCTTTCTTTTAAGTGGTAGGTTTATCTTTCAACAGAAGCCAAATCTAGACTTTTGGGTTGCTGACATATTTAGGTGATACAATGTTTTACTTAAAAAAACAAAAAACACACATAACAGATGTGAAGAATAAGCAGATGCATTCTCATAATAAATGCACAAGTCACACAGTATAAATCTTACTCAGTAACATTTCATTGCTGAGTAAGTCTGTGGGAGAGTGTTCATGCATGTGCAGTAAGGTTCTCTCTTCATCTTCAAGTTACATCAAGGCCAAAGAAGTATTTATTCAGACAGTCAAACAGTGGCTGGATAGTTTCTGTACATACTTTATATTTTTTTCTTTTTCTTCTTTGTATACTTTGTTTTAATCATCAATTATTATTTCAGAAAAGCAACTTTTGTAATAATTTCATCTTTTAGAATCAAACATGTAAAAAGAAAGAAAGAATTTTTTCCTTGTGTTCATATATGATAGTGTTTTTGTGAATAAGAAAAATTCAAGAATGTATCCAAATTTCCTTGGGGAATGGGACAAAGATAAAATGGATTTTGTAATTAAAGTTTAATGGATGCTAGATTTTGAAAGGTGAAACATTTATTTCAGTTGTGCTAAGATTGTGTATCTAATTGAGATAAAAAAAAACTATTTTTCAATGAAACTCCTTTAACTGCAAATGAAAGTTGGCTATGATAGAATTGTGTGTTAAACTATTTGTAAGGAAAAATAAAAAAAATAAAATCTCACCTTGGTTGATGGACAAACACGGAATGTAAACAGCTTTTTGCCAAATAACCAAAAGTAAAATTCTTTCAGGGTTAATTGCTGTAAACAGGAGAAAAATAAAAAAAAAAAAAACACTTTTCAGTCTGCAAAATTTAATTCAGACAATTTTGTCTTTAGATTTGCACAAACATACAATTCTTCTTTAAGTCTTCATGTCTGAAACATTTGAAACAAAAGACCTTGAAAAATATATGGCATATTTATTTATTGAAGATCAAAATTTGTCTTACCTATTTATGGCAATCTATAAATATATCTTAGTTTGGAAAACTAATGAAAACTAACTTTTCAATTGAGTTTCATACAAATCTTTTTTATAATTTCATAAACTTCAAATTTCTTCTGCTTCAATTACTTACAATAGGATCAATTTATTTCTTCTACTGAAGTAAAATAAAAAAAATGTACTTAAATTAGAAGATGAAAGAAGATATTTTGCAATTTGAGTTATTTTATAAAAGACTTAAACATGTTTGAGATAATATTAAGAAAATTTCAAAAAAGAAAAAAAGGCAACTTTTCAAAGGAAAGGTGAACCAATGCTACTATAAATGAAATGTGTGATGCAATGACCTGTAACATGTTGCTGTAAGGAAGTGCAGGTGTCTGACCTGAAGAAATGATCTTAACACAAATCAAGGTTTGATCTGGAAATGGCCCAGATGTCATACACAATCACCTGGCAGGAGGAAGTTATAGCATGGGCATTATGTTCCAGTTGTAAGCCTATTTCTACACATACATAGAGAGAGATTTGATCAGTGAGGCAGTAGGAAGGTGAGCGACCACCAACATGTGTACATGCACTTCTCATTTCTGGATGGAGATAAGGTGATGTGAAGCTGAAGACCTATGAATTTGGAGAGGTTTTGCTTGAAGTTTCAAAGTTGCAATTGTTAACTTTTTTTGGCCTTCTAGATTTACACAAAAACATGCCTCCACACACACACACACACATTTAAAATGTTCTTACACTAAAGAAAATGCTTAAAAAAAAAACAAAAAAAAAACAACATTTGGAATCCTGATAGGTAACAAGGCTTACAGTTACCGTATATTCTCCATGACAAACATCAAAGATGTTATTTCTCAAAACAATAATGTCATAGAATATAAAAGCCCAAATCTTGTGAAGTTTCAGTTTGTATCATTCCAAACAGTATTTGATACTAAATTGTCACAATAGTTTATGGCAGATCAATTAATTAATAGATTATGGCAACAATTTATCACAAACTGTTAATGGTAATATTAGTTGTTTCCTTATAAGGAAACATTCAACATTCATTGAGTGAGCAGCCAGTGCTACTTTCAGTTGAAATTTTAAAAATCTTTCTCTAAAAACATTTTTTCAGGAAAATAGTTTTCTCAAGTCCAGTATCTGTTATTACTCTTTCCAGCATTGATGAGGTTTCCTTCCTAACTTTTTATTTGAAGTAGTATGGAACATCAACATCTTGATCATATCATTATTTTCTCTTCAAGTTACATGTGTTATCCATTTTAGTTGTTACTGATTTTTAAAGACCTCAAGTTATATGGTTTCTATTATTTTGATATAGTTGTTTGTGATTCTGTAATACTAGTTCATAATGTTTAACGAAGGATGGTACGTACTAAAACCTACAGGTTTCATTCATGCAAAGCCATTTTAACCATTGAGAAAGTGTTTTAACTATTTTAAGTATCCTGAGAAAATGGTTGTATATAGTTGACAGTTTAGATATTTTTAGGTTAATGTTTTGGTTTTGTAGTAGTCTGTGGTATTGGGTGAAACTACCTCTAGTGCAGCCTATTCTATGTTCAGTTTCCTTATCTCCTATGCTAAATTTGTTATAACTGATCCAATGTTTAGTATTTACTAATTCCACATAGATCCTCCTTAAAAAATAAAATCAATTTCATAATTATTACTGATAATCACCTTCTCTGAAGCAGGGACTGAAGACATTTATAGTTTGCAGTTAACGAAGAAACCTGCAAAAAGTCTTGCAAACAGATATAAAAAAATATGATTGTTAGATTTCTGGTTAAAAATCACAAATAAATCCATTAGATTCCTGATATTAGCACCTGGGGGGGGAGGTGCAGTATACTGAAGAGAGAACCTGACCCATTAGCCTTTACTGATTGCCAGTGTAATGTGAGGAAAGATTCAGTGTTAAAAGATAATACGACAAACTTCAGCCTGAAGGAATGTTTGCCATAGTAATTAGAGATGACACTAACGATTGGGAAAATCATCAACAAGTTGCACAGTAATCAGTGACAGTGAATTGAATTCAAAAGACAGGCAATCCCCAAGAGAGAAAGAGAAAGGGAAAGAGAGAGATTCAACAAACTCATTAAATTGCACACCCACAAAAAAAACTACACCCACCCTAAACAAACAACACACTTAACACAAGCTGTTTTTTTTAGCAATAAACTGATCAAGACAAATTTACAATGATAATGAAAGGCTGGTATTTTAAAAATTGATAATTCTAATGTTTAAAAGAAGATTTCATCAGTTTTAGAATGTTAAAGGGTTAAAGATTAAATCTGTCTAAATAACTGAGACTTATGGACCAGAAATGTCCTGAAGAGAAGAAAGAATTTGAAACTTAAGAAATGGATTATAAGAAAAAAAACAAACCAAACTGTTTGTAAATCCATCAAAGACCATCATCAAAATACTAAACTGTAGCAATGAAAATAGTCATTTACCCCATCAAACAAAACATCCCTGGCTCATGTGTATTTTGTGCCAAAAATTAAAAAAAAAACTCCGATCTGTGTTTTTTGTTTATTTATATAGAAAATGGCAGGACATGAAAATTTGGAATTGACTAATTGTGGACATCTTGAATTTGTATATAAATTGTTATTTTTAAGTGATACAGTTAGTTGTATTTTTGTTGTGTGTATTTGGTTGGTTTGGAGTTTCATGTGCACCATCAGAATTTGCAATTATTCTGTTTGCTACAATAACTTTATCTATGAGCAGAGACAGTAGTTGTATATTGTGATTGATAACCACCTTTTTTTTTTTTTTAAGAGAATCAATTCCTATTTTATTCTACAGTTTATTCTTTCAGTTCAAATTTGATAATTCAGTATTAAACTTTGCAACCATGTGATTTCATAAAAAAGCAATGTGTGTGGTATCATCCTGAGAATTATTTTGGTATGTGTGTGTGCATGCATGTCAATCAATGACATATCTAAATAACTGAGACTTAGTTCATACAACTAGTAATAAATTTTAAATTTAATAAGGTATTCAGACTTATATCACAGATCTCATGAAAACCAAATACCTACTAAAGCTTTTGTTTTTTAGCTTTACTAGAAAGATGGATTTTCATTCTTTTTATTTATTTACAAGCTTTAAAATTCTCAGGCCTTTTGTTAAATACAGATCAGATAAAAATTGTTGATGCTGAGATATCTTGTCAGACATTAAAAACAAGTGTAATGCACATCCACTTATTTTTAACAAGGGACTTGAAAAATTTAGATATTCTTTTAATAAGTCACAAATTATGCATCAAAGAAAAATGTAGGAACATTCAAATTTGGTTTTATTTTTCCAATGATATAAAATTTGGCAAAAAACATTTTATTTCAAAATATCCAAGATATCTTAAAAACAAATTATAAACACTAATTTTTAATTTTTTTTAATCCTTTCATCCTCAGCAAGGCAATAAAGCCACTAAAAAACAAGTGTTTTATTGTGTGTTAAAGAATATGAGGAAAAATACTATTAAGGAGAGAACAATAAAAGAACAGGAATTAAGAAGACAGAAGATAACAATTGATCTTCAAAAATTTAAGTGAAATGTCAAAGTTGTCTGGAAAGCAATAAGCCAGAAGAAAGTTCCACAAGTGAGAAGTGTGATAGAATAAACTGTTAGCATAGAACTTACAGTTACATCTATCCATTTCAACTGTAAAACGATGAGACCTAGCTGCCAATCTAGTAGTGCGCTTAAATTCATAATTAAAAAAAAAAAATGAAAACAAAAAGTAAACAAAAAAACTTGTTCTTTTTTCATTTTTGAGTAATAATGATAACAACAACAACACAGCTGGAATTTTTTTATAAAGTCTTCATTAATGCCACTGGCATTTATCATCTGACAGATTTTTGTTTTGCTGATACTTGGACAAATAATATTTTTGATATTTTGAATTATTCATCAAATTATGTTTCAAAGCAATGAAATAGAGATTAATTTAATACACTCAATTTTATCAAGGACATACACCCATACATGTTATTAGTCTTATGATCTGAACCAGGAAAGTCTTGCTTTCTCTTCAGAGTGTAAGCCTTGGCAAAGTGGTATGGAAGACAGGCATTTTCCCAGTGAGTCTCCCATCTTCATGCTACCAATATTGACCAAGTGATGGGCAAAGGCCATCTTGACATCAATGTTGTAGGATTTGCCAGAATTAAATTGAAGACAGTATCTGAACCTGTACCAAAATGATCTTTGATTCATTCCTGAAGTCTTTCATATAAATGCCTATGACCACAAGGCAGCAAAGGTTTGAATTCATAGTTGTGTTTTGACTAAAATAATTGCCAACCAAGGCTACAGAGCTCAATCTTTTCCAGCTATTTTCCTTCTAGTTGATGAAAGAAGAGATGGGTTCATGCCTTTTTAAAGGTCATTAGTGTAAAATGAACAAAAACTGGAAATAGAACTTGTCATTTCAATTTTCTGTGCTGTTGCTACCCATTAAATATGGCAGATTTCTTTATTCCTTTTTGATGTTTTGTTTTGCCAAATCTTGATCATTAGGAAGCCAAAACAATTCATGTTTACTTGATATACAAGCAAGTAACAAAAACTTAAATCACAAGCAACAATTTAATTAAACTTAATTTCACAACCTTCAATAAAATAAAATGTTACCTGCTGATGAATTCTATGGCATTGTTGTGATTATAAATGCTTCAAAAACACAAAAAAATAAACTGATTAAATTCAGCCAATGTAGACATTATTTCTGTTACATTAACAGACACGATTGGGGAAAATTGCAGAGATTTCCAAGACTGCTATCATTTTGGTCTAGCTTGATTACTAGAAGATTTCACCGAAAATGGAAAGGCTTTTACTTTTGGTTTCAGCTTGATTAATTCTGTTGTAAAATATTCATCTACTTGAAAGATAACTCAATATTTTTCTGCCAGTGCAAAATAGATCCCTCACCCTTGTGGTTAGTTTAGTATTTATCAAATTTGCAATGATCACATAATATATCATGATTTACTTATAGTAAAAGTTTTACTTAATAAAAAAAAAAAAACATGAGCATAACAAATTATTAAGAATAAAGAAGGAGGTTTGAATCAAATGCTTTTTTTGGCACCATAATTTGTAGGCACCATTTTTACTACTTTAATCAGTTGAACAATCTGTTCATGGTCCTTCTTATTATTCATTTATATTGTTTCATGCTTATTATTATTATGTTTCTAAGCAAAGAGAACAGAACATAAAATGAATGCAGTAATTTTCCAATGTACTTACAAAATGACAAGTCAAAGCACTGAGCTAGATGTCTTCACTTGAAGATGTGTTTCAATTTTCTTTGGAGGTAATTAATTCTCTATTCTTTTCGTTTAAACAACATAATGAAAAAATACACTGATGTTTTTGCTTAACAAGATAAAAACTGAATGAAGATTTGTATAGTGTGCCTTCTTGAATATGAGAAAAGAAATGCTTTCTATATATTTCCATGGAAATTACTACAGATACAGCAAGCACAATAACAACATTGGATGGTGTAAGTTACTAGTTAACAAAACAC